TACAAGTTGCATCAAAATTGTTTGAAGTATTAAATATAATGATAAGTCCTTCAGACATGTGTAAAATCTCTAAATTATTACTAAGTCTTTCGAGTATAATTTTAAGACTTCTAGGCTATATGAAAGAACTCTGGACATGATGTTAAATCCTTCATAAATGATAAAATTGTTGAAGAAACTAATTTATATTCTAGAAGCATATCTCCTCGTGTGAGGAGTGTATCACCATCTTCAAAGTCATATCTAATTGAGTGCAAATGAGTTCACCATATTCAGAGTCCTATCTCATCGGGTAGGGTGTGCAAAAAGATCTGATTCGATAATTCAATATGAAAAATTAGATATTCAATATGTTTTTTGACTTTCGAATAATTCGAATCGGATATATGAAAAAAAAATCGAATAATCAAATCGGATATGAATCGAATAATTTTTATGGTGTGTAATATATATGTATATATAGAGAGAGTTATTGAATAAGTTGCATAAAGTCGTAGAATATAAAACATAAAATTATTTTTTTCTAAATTAAAATTATATTTGAATCTGGATATTCAAATTTTTGGATATTCGATTTTTCCAAACTGGATATGAATCACTATTTAGGTATATGAAATTTTAGATCGGATCGAATATATCTATCACGGGATATGAAAGAGTGAGTCATCATCTTTAAAATTCTATTTCCTCAAGTTCAAAGGAATGGATTGTCGTCTCCATAGTCTTGTCTAGAAGTTGATGATCTTCAAAATTCCATCTCCTCAAGTGTGGAGGAGTGGGTTGCCGTCTTTAAATTTGTATCTCCATGAATGCGAAAGAGTCTATCACCATCTTTAGAATCTTATCTCCCCAAGTGCGAAAGAATAGATTGACAATGAAAAAAACTCATGTCTCTTCATATGAGAAAGAGTGCATTATTTTCAATATCCGATGCGCGAAAGGATAAACCATCATCTCATTTTACAATTTTAATTGTGATCCTCCTATTTGATTTGTTAGTGGTTTTTCTATTTATATCTCGAATACTGTTATATTCGATGTTATTATAATTTAAATGAATGATTTAACAAAATTTATAATCAGATGAAATTCGGTTCTCTTTGTCCTACTCTTATTTCTTAGCAAAGAATAAAAAGGAGCATTAACAAAATATATTCTATAATTTTCATTAAATATATATATATATATATATATATATTCTTCACCCCTTAATCATTACTCTCCTTGGATCAATAAATAATATGATAGGATGAGGCATAAATAATTTATCCGAAAAGTATTATGTCCACGTATTTTTTTAAGAATTTCCTTTTCATATTCTTCTTTTAAAGTTTTTTTCTTAGGCTAATCGATTTCGAAAAGACACATTTTTTTTAATCAAATTGGGCACTGAATTTTGAATGGTCAACTTTATCAATCCTACAATACTAACTTTAAAATAGATAATATTGCATGAAAGCAGTTAAGAAGTGATGTACACATGTCGTTAATCAATAATTTCTTAAGAAAAGTCATTCAAGTACTTTTGTACTTGTACACGAATTAACTATTGTTGTCAACTTGCTTATTCTCCTCCTTTTATCACATGCCGAAGTCAGTGGCATTCACACTTAAAATTACATTATTATTGTTTTTGTACAAGAAGTATTATAATATCGAGATTTGTAGAATATATATTTTATGCTTAAATTCTCTAAATTATATTTAATATTGAATTTTAATGTCTTAAGAATTTTTCGTTAAAAACAATTAAAGTTTCTAACGTTACACTTTTAGGTTGTTGGACTGTAACAACCGTTAAATTTAACCGTTATCCGATACGTGTTAGACATATAAAATTTCAAATTTTTATTTTTTTTCAAAAAAAAATCTTAAAATTATTATGTTTCTAAAAACCTAAAAAAACCCTAATTTCAATCCTCTCACCATCACCGGCAGTTACAATTATTGTCATTGGTCAAATCTCGACGAAATTTGATCGTCCGAACACCCATGATTCAAGTGACGATTACCATAGAAAATGGGTGATTGTAGCTATTGGAGATAAAGAGGATCAACACGAATTCTAATGGTTTTATGGTGAACGACGATCGACGTGGGTGGAAGATAGTGATCGGGGTTTAGGGGACGATGGCGAACTCGGAGGTGACGACAGTGCACACCACGGATAGCTAGTGAAGGGTGATTGACGGATGATGACGGGGAAGGTAGATCACGATGCAGGGGTTTGATTTTTTTAAATTTTTTCTTTAAAATATAATATTTTATTATTAAAAAATAAATAATATAATAGTAGACACCTAAAAATATAATGGAGAAAATGTTAGATACCTATTTTTAACAAAAAATTCTTTAGATACTAAAAGTTAATTAGAGTATAATTTAAGCACTTAAAAATATATTAATTAATTTTAAGAATAGTTGTATGTAGGGATATATCAAGAGGCGTAGGGATAGTCGTTTTTTAAAATTTTAAATTATTGTATATTTTAGATTTTTTATGTATCTTTTATTATTAATTTGTTTTCTTCCTTAGAATTTTATATGTTTGTCTCCTTCTAAAATTTTAAAAAATTATTCTCCGAGCATAAAATTATCAATAAATCTCTAAACATAAAACTATCAATAAAAGATATATATATATATATATATATATATATATAAATAAAGAAGGGTTGTATATAGTAAAGTTTTAAACTTAAATATCATTAGCTATTATATTTTAAGAACAGTAGTATGAATTGATTAAAATAATAATTATATTTAACATAATAAATGAAATCAATTTAAGCTCAGATTTTGGTAAATTTATCAAGTGATTTTGGTTATAAAAAATGTTAATCTTCTTAAAGATATTGTATTTGAGTAATAGCGTTTATAAAGAATGTATACATTATCAATAGATTAAAATAATTAAAAATATATATAAATAATACTCCTAGGCTAATAAAAAAACTCAAATATCGGTGATGCTGTAAAAAATAGTTGCATGAATCTACTGTAATAAATTTTGATTTATAAAATGAACATAATTTAATAAATATAAATTAGATATATCGAATATTAAATAGCTATAGAACAAATTGAAATAAGCTCTGATATGATTTTATTTTACATCTGTCACTCTGTTGTGAGAAAACCCCAAAATTCCAAAATACAATAAAGAGATCTAAATAAGCTGAAAACCAGCAATTAATAACATTAAATAGACACGTAATACACAAACCAAGATGAAAGTGGGAATTAAATAGTGGGGGGCAGATGCTTTGCTTACGATTTTGACTGTTGAAGAGCAGTTGGACCCCACTTGCAATAATTACACCCTTTTGCATGTGATTGGTATATAATTATGACAAACAATCTCCAATTACATTTTCCTAAACTTGTATTGAATGGATGGGGATAAATGTAAATATTTGGCTCTGAATTTACAATTTAATTCATTTCAGTACTGAATTCTTTTATCCACATTAATTCCAAAACTTAGTTACCTTTGAACTTTTAGTTATTTCACTATGTGACATCAGTAGCCAAAAAAAGAAATATATTTAAAAATTTCATGTTATGGTGTGAAATAATATGAGAATATCACATCATCGAAATGATTTGAAATTTAAACTTAAAAATTAAGATATATTTTTAAAATTTCAAGACTAACTGTGACAAAAAATATTAGGTATTAAAATGAACAAATTATTAAATCAAGGAGCTAAAAATTAACTAAACCCTAATTAGGAGTGTGTTTAATTCAATTCGATTTGTTTTTATCAACGATGAATTGAACTGTACTATTTGGTTTTTCTAAAAAAAATGAAATTGAAATCGAATGATATTACAGGAATTTAACATTAATATGTAAATGATGCATTACTTTGTTTGGTTTATTTAGCATATGAATGTAAAATTATAGTGTTTGGTTGGAAAAAAATAAGATTACTTGAATGCGTATTTACAAATTATCATTGTGATATATATATATATATATATATATATATATATATATATATATATATATATATATATATATTATAAAGTTAAACTTTAATATTAAATTATAAATATTTGAATAAAAATTCATATAAATATTTTAATCGTTATACTATCTAACTTTTGACAAAAATAAATTTAGTATACAATTAGTATATTAAACTTATATTTTTAAATAATTTTTATAAGTGTTATATTTTTTATATAATATAAAAATAATAATATTATGGTCTCGAGTGGTTAAAGATATTATTTTTCAATGTATAAACTTTATTTTTAATAACTAAAATAATAATTATATTTTTACAATAATATTTATTTTTCACCTCATAAATTAAAAATAATTAATATATTGAATATTAAAAATATAAAATAATTTAAATACTCAAATTTATTAATATTTTATTAAATTAAACTCTTTGTATATTATTATTATGTTTATTATTTTGAATAAAATAAAAAAAGAATTGAGAATGCTCATTATAAAAAAGAATTCATTAATTCAGGGATATTATTGTTTAAAGTGATGAGAATTATCTAATACTTAAAAATTTAAAAATAATGGCATTCTTATCATTTTAATAAAAAAATATTACTATTAAGAAAAAATATTATGTAGTAATAAATTTTTTAAGAATTATATTTAATTTCAAAAAAAATATTATTTCCTTTAGTAATGATATTTTCAACTAACCAAAACCCCATAATAGGGTGAAGGAACCTGAAGGCTTGTAAATAAAGATATAGGTGAAAATGTATCAGCATGTAAAAGTAGTGAGCATGGTAATAAAAGAAAGCAAAAGTTATGATGAATCATGAGGCAGGCAGCAGTTGACCAATAACCGACGTCTTCGCTAACTTCGACGCATGCATTTAAAATCTACACATTTATTATATCACTTCACATTAATCATTAATGAATGTTTATATTACACAAAACTAGTCTATATAATACCACCTTTGATTCTAAATAATTCATTCCCACGAAGAAGAAGCAAATTTAACAGGTCCAAATGGAGTCCAAAAAGTCTAACAAGATCAGGCAGATAGTGAGGCTCCAACAGATCCTCAAGAAGTGGAAAAACGTAGCAAATGCACCAAAGAACACCAGTAGCAGCACCAACTCCAGCACTGCCACCACAAGCGGCGGCGGCAGTAGGAGTATCAAGTTCCTCAAGAGAACACTATCTTTCTCCGACGTGAATTCGGAGGGTATCCCCAAAGGGTTCTTGGCGGTTTGCGTGGGGAAAGAGCTGAAGCGATTCATAATCCCGACGGAGTATCTGGGGCATGAAGCGTTCCGGATTCTGCTCCGGCGAGCGGAGGAGGAGTTCGGGTTTCAACAGGAAGGAGTGTTGAAGATACCTTGTGAGGTCGCGTTGTTCGAGAAGATCCTGGACGTGGTTCAACACAAGGATGAGAATAGCCTCTTGTTAGTGTTGCACGAGCTTGCTGACAAAGAAATCATGGCTTGCTGTTCGCCGGACTGTGAGTTAACGTCATCTCATTGTCCTCAAACGTGTAGATGAACTCCATTTTTTTTAACGTCAACACTTATCTATGAAGTTTTGGTGTAAGGAAAATAAAAGTGTTGAATAATTAGTAGAGGAATGCTAGCCAAGTTGAAAATTGTTGGATATTATAAAAAGTAATATAAAAATAATTTTATATAAAAAAGTACAAATTTTATGATTGGAAATTGAAATGATGGATATCATAATCATGGCGGTAAATATATTGGGATGACTTTGAGTATTGTTAAATTCAATTTGATTTTAAAAGTTTAAAGTTGAACTTAATTTAAAAATTAAGACTTCTAAGAAAAACTACAATTAAAATCTAAACCTAAAATTTGATTACAAATCGAAGCTAAATAAAAATTAGATATAATGGTATTAATAGGCCTAAACTAAAAATGTGATAAATTAGAATTAACTCGAATCAAATTAGTCATATAAACAAAAAATAATTAAAATGAAAATAAATGTAAACATAATGTTGAAATTAAAAAATAAAAAAAAATACAATCGAGGACTAAAATGCAAACACACGTTTAAAGTTGAATGGCTTCAAAAAAATTCCATTTTTTACAAGCTTAATTAACCAATAACACAAAAATGTAAAATTACGCAATTAGTGCTCTATATTCTAAATAAAATAAAAAATGACCGAGGACCTAAATGTAAAAATGTGCTAAACCTAGGTTGTCTATAACGCAATTATCCAATTTTAACTTCATCAATTGTTAATAAAACAAAAAGGGAAAATAACTCAATTAGACACCAATTTCGAAACAAAAAATAAAAAAAACTAGATCAGAGACCATTTTGTAAAAATATAGTAAACATGCAATGGCTTAAGAATAATTAGACCATAAAACCGTAAGATATAACCCACATGTGTTTTGTTTTTATTCATTCTTTTCTCAAACCCCTAAAAAATCTTTCTATACCTCCCACTTATTTTCTTCTCACTCGAAGAAAAGATTCAGCCACCGCTAGTCGGTGGTTGTCTCGACTCTGGCCACCTCATATTCCATCCGGATAAACCCAAAAAAGTCAATTGCTCTCTCTATTTTCCTTCCTCCTTTTAACCTCTGAACGAGACCCATTCTAGCCCAACATAAGTTGGCGTATTTCCTCTCTTTGACCACCATGCATAGTGGTTGGTTCAATCATAACCTAATTCTAAACTACCCGAACCATTCCTTTCCCCATTTATATAACACCCTAATTTTTGGGTTAGTAGTTTTGGGTTTACCCGAGAGACTTGTGAACCCAATGAATTTCATAAATTAAGTCGTTGAGCTTAATTGAGTTTGAATTGGGCCTAATTAGTCATAAAAAATGATATTTTTTATAGTGGAAAGATGTGTGATGACTAAATATACATTTTCACCCTTTTTAAAAGATGAAGACTTTTATATCTCTTTCTTCATATTATTCTTCCTTCATTTTCTCTTAGTCCTCATTTCATCATTCTTCCTCTCTAAGTCTATAGCCCAAAGGTAAGTTCCTGAGCCTTTCTCATACTTAAAATTCGTCCATAATCCTTCCATCAACATTTTTTTAAAGATTCAAGCCTCAAGTTTCTTATTTTGCAAGAGAAAATGGGTCTAGAGTGTTCAAATGCAAATGGAGAAGAAAAAGATCAGAGTTGTTGAAGAAATAAACTTTATTTTGGATTCCTAAGCTAAGATAACGTATTTCTAATCCTTTGTTGTGTTATGAAACTCCTAAACATGATTCTTTGTTGCGGATTTGGGTATTTGAACATAGTTGGGGTTTTACTTGAATCTTGTTGTAGATGACGTTTTTAGTGTAAAGTTTATGCTTTTATAGCTCTAAATGACCCTAAATAAACCCCTTAAGCCTTATAAGTTGATTTGGAACTTAACTAGGGTATTTGAGAGGATTCTTAAGTGTTCTCTGAGCCTAAATAAAACATTTCTAGGCTCAAGTATTGATACTAGGATAAACAATATTGATATTGGATGAATTAGGATGAATTTTAGGGTTTTTAGATGGGAGTATCGATACTACAGAGGAGAGTATTGATATTGCTCCTATAGTATCGATACTGAGAGTGTCTGGTATCGATACTGGGCTATTTTTCGGGACATCAAACCCATTCTTGGTACCGATACTCATAGGGGTATCGATACTTGACCCTAGGGTATCGATACTACAAGTATAATATATATACTACTTGTTTTGAATGGATAGTTTTGACCTCCATAAGGCCCGTAAGAGTAGAGGATGAATTGTAATGGTAGAGCTTAGTCCGTGAGGGCTATAAATAGCCAAAGGGGCCTATAAACCACTCATAGGAGTCAGTTACAACCGAACACGTATTAAGTAATTGTGAACAAAGAATCATTCCAAAAGATATACCAACGGGTGAGACGATAAATGATGTGACTAGAATGATACTAGAAGGTGAGTGGTACGTGGGTTCCTATAAATCAAATATGCATGAGTTGCCTTACCGGTTCGAGGGCGAAATGGTGAGAATTGTGACGAGAGCGACTATGTTGTCGTTGTCAATACATTAGTCCCCGAATTGAGTGTTGGACTAGTAGTAGTATACCAAGAGGGTATCAATGAACATGAATCACCATAAGGGCATAAAAACTAAAGTAACTATCAATTCTTATATAACGTTCTTGGAGAGAGAATAAATGAAATACTAGTAAGTGAGAGAGAGATCCTACCTACTTGAGTTGTAATAGATAATAATGAAAAGATAACCACTTGTTAATAATGTTACATAAGTGATAACCATAATAATCATATGAGGTAAGATTATATAAGACTAACCTTTGTGTGACGCACAACTAGGACACCTGAGTTACTTTAGTAGTATTACAATCGTCTTGTGTGTATAGAATGTCCAGATATATCCAAGTGAGTGCAAGAGCACTTTATTCACTAGTTGAACTTCGTATTGATACTAAGTGACCCAAACATGTTCCAAGTACTTTAAAGGATTAGACTAGTCTGGCAAGGTGCTAACGTAATGTGACCCATACCTAGCCTAAGATACTTGTGAGGTGTCGATGCTATGTGACCCAGACCTGACCAGAGGTAACTAGGAAATGTTGATTCTATGTTATCAATATCTCAGCAAATGTATTTCTAGTAAGCAAATATGGGTGAGAGTTTCGTGATGATATGTGACCCTAAGTTACACCATGATGCTTACTTGTTGTTGTATTATGGTACGCGACGTCTTTTTGATATTGTGTACTATCATTGTGTGCTATATGATGATGCATTGTAGGATGATATTGAGGTTAGAGACCTAGTACATGTTTTCTCATTGCGAGGCCCTTAGTGGAGACTAAGGGAATCTGGAACCCTGATGATGGTGTTTATGGTTACTAGGTTTTAGGGTTATTTCTCAATCCTTCTAGATGATTTTAGACCATTTTATTTGTTCATGTCCAATGGTTCTTGTTGTGTGATGAAAACTTCACTTCAGGGTTAAGAAAACCCGAATATAGACTGATCTAATCCCTTGATATTGTGTTGATCTAAAGGTTAACATCATTGGTGATGTGAGATAAAATGTTTAGGGTTTACAAAATATACTTTTCTTTGAATCCTAACCGTTGATCATTCCACAATCCTACGGTTGAAGACTATATAGAGTTGAAATTATGATATAAAACTTTAATATACTAGGTCTTGATCGTTTTCCCCTGTCTGGCCTTTAACTCGACTGGAATTGGACTTCTTCTTGGACCTTGACTGGACCAAATCGGTGATACACCCTAGACCAATACGACACACAGTCGACCGATGTAGGATGCCACACTAAACCACCAGAGTGGCTGACCAACTTTTTCTTAATTTCTTTAACTTTAAAACAACCATTTGAATAAAAACTAACCTTAAAATAAAATAAAAAAAATAAAAGCATTTGTACTATGGAGCTCCAAAATAAAATATTTACATCTCAAAAATAATATATACCACTAATACACTAAACTTACGACTCAACTGGACAATAATGTTTATAAATATACATGCCCATTAAAATGTTGAGATGTACTCTGAATCTGCACTAGGTCTGGAACTTGGTCTTTTTCTCTATTACTCCTCGAACGCTCGATCTACTGACTTGCCTATGAAAAATAATCCGAAGGCTGAGCTAACTAACTCAACGCCACACTAATAACTAAAACATACTAAAAGTTCATCACTGAAATGCTCAATCTATCAAGTCTATTGCTTTATGGTGTACTGCTATTTGGTTTACTAATATGTTCTTTTATTCTCTTCTTTAGTGAATATACTCATATACTCACTCTCTACTCTATGGTAGACATCATGGTGTGGCTGATGGTTTTGTATCTTAAAGATCACACACCCCTCTATTCTATCAAGAATGTGACCCCTAGAATCTCTGTATCAGACACTACACTCTCGACTAGCCCACTCCTTGAGTGTCAGACCTTGCACCCAAACTAGTGAACTTATAGTGCCTTGCACACTCACTAAGGATATATAGACTGAATATATAATTTTGACTCTGCTATCTTTTCTATATTAACTTGGGAGTCCTGGTCGTTTTCCCGAGCATTCAAACAAGACTAGTCTTATTTCACCCTACTTTATTCTCATTTCTACATTTGAATTAAACATTAACAAATGTTCTCACTTGTAGTCTTATATGGAAGAAATTACAAGCTTTTGGGAAACCTCACTTACCTCTATACTTTCTCTTAACTTAAAGTCCATTTCTCAACCTTGGTATTGATATTGGCCTTACAATATCGATACCCTCACTTTCCTCTACACTTACTCGTGCTTTAAAGCTGATTGATATTGGCCTTACAGTATCAATACCCTCTCTGTAGTATCGATACCCTACCTAAGGTATCGATACCCCTACAACTATTTCATCTATTTTAACCCAACTTTAAACACCTTTTATAGAACTTATTTTAGTGTTTTATAACTATTCGATCCCATTTATGGTCATATTATGGGTCTAGGGCCTCTCGGACAATGTTTTAGCCAAAATAAATTGAAAGTATCGATACTAGCCTAAGAATATCGATACTCCTACAAAAATATGGATACTTTATATAAGTACTGAAACTTTTAAACATTCTGTTATGTCTAGTTTTGAAACTTTCTGGGAGCTTTAAAACTATAACCCAAAGTTTCGATACACTTGAAAGAGTATCGATACTCTTATCCAGAAACTCATGAATTTGCCTAAAATGAAGAACAAGTAATGATATTATCCCTATAGTATTGGTACTCTACCTACAGAAGTCATAAAACACATAGGAAAATGCTATATTTTAATCCTAAATACCCTAGTGAGGTCCCCAAACATTCTTTAAAGTCATATGTGATTACAAGGAGCATAAATAAGGTTTTATATCATTGTTATAACATAAATAATATAATCTACCATTAACATATAACACTAAGATTCATAACTTACTCTCAAGCTACAACTCATTTCTAATGATCACTAGGAGTATGAAAGAGTTGATAGTGTGTTACCTGGCATCCTTGGTTGCGAAAATCTCCTTCAACTTAAATAGGAGTCACCTTACCTTTATCATTTGCTTTAGAACATTACCCACCTTATTGGCTAATCAAAACTAAACTAGGGGTTAATAACTTGTCTTTTTCTTGGAAACTAAATTAACACTCTATACTACTTAATATTACTCAAAACAAGCTTAAATCTCTAGGTTCCTTTCAAACTCCTGAAAACCCATTTTGAAAACAAATTCTAAAAATCACGAAATGGAGCTTGAAACAAATCTTGAAGGATGGAGAGAAACATTCTTATCTTGGCTAAACAAATATAAGATTCTTGAAACATGGCTCTTGAAAGAAAGAATAAATGCAAACTAATGGAAGGAAGAAGAAGAAGAAGAATAGTGGGTGAGATATTATGGGGAGTTTGGTTATGTGAAATGATATAAAAAGAGGGGGAAAGTTTTCAGCTTCAACTAAATGGATAAACTACACTTTAGGTCCTTCACATATTAACTCACTTTAAAACAATCTCTTAGTTTTAACTCTTGGGCCTACCTCAGGCCCAACACCTATATAACTTGGTCCAACTATCTTGGGAGGTCTAATTGATTTGACTTAAAGGTCTCGAGTTGATCCAAACTACTAAACCAAGTTTCGGGGTATTACAATCGGGACTTGGACTGTGACCTTTTCCAGGACCTTAAATAATAAGTAAATTTATTTATAAAACAAATAAAATGAAATAATAATATGTAATATATATATATATATATATATATATATACAATTAAAAATAAAGTATATAAATAGACTATATATATATTCGAAAATTATATAATATTTATTATATTTTAAATCTATATTATTTTAAGGGTAAATCACATCGTTCCTCACTGAACTATACTCTCTCTCCTATTTTCCTCACCAAACTTTCAATTTGATCAATTTTCTCACTGAACTTTACAATCAAATCATTTTTATCACTTGATCGTTTTCTCTCTAACAGCTGATGATGAGGTATTTTTAAAATTATTATTTAATAAAAAATAATTAAAAATAAAATAAAAATAGAAGGTGGACGAATTCCACCGCCTGAACTTGCTCCACCATGTCATTTTTATTCCGACCACTGTCGCCTGCAGTAGATGGTGTCCGTTTCGTCCCAAATTTCATGGGTCGCTTCTCTTTGACACCTTGAGTCTGAATCCGACCTCCATTTTGTCGAAACTTGCTCCAAAGTCCGCGAATTTGAAATTAAAAGTGAGGAAACCAAAATGTTTTAGTCCAGATTCATGTGTTTCGAGACATTTTCCGATGAAATAACCACTAGATTCAGACTCAGGGGGTCGGGATGAACCGACCCATGAAATTTGGGACCAAATGAGCACCTTCTACGACAGGTAACAATGATCAAAATAAAAAAGACATGGTGGCTGACGGAGAAAAAACTAAGAAGATAAGGAAAAAGGATAAATTATACCATTAGTCACTGAACTTTACTTTCTCTCCTATTTTACTCACTGAAACTACTTCGTTATGAAGTATAGTTGAGTTTTTGAAAACGAAATATTTTTGATGTCTGTGCCAGCACAGTTAAATAATTAACGACATAGTGAGCAAAATGATTCAATATGTAAAGTTCAACGAGCAAATTGAAAGTTGGGTGAGGAAAATAAGAGAGAAAGTAAAATTCAGTGAGGAATGGTGTAATTTACCCTTATATTAAAGTATAATATATATATATATATATAATATCTGATTTTAAAACTATACTATATTATATATATAATATATTTTTTAAACTATACTATACTTAAAATATACATATACATATGTTTATTTTATATAATATTATAGCATAACCTACGATAATATAATATAAAAATATATACATATGCTATAAACATATATTTTAAAACATATATACACAAGTGTTTTGTGAACATTCCTCAAAATTATGATTAGCACCACAATAAACACAAGTAATAGTGGATGTTGATTTGACTTCAGACATACCTCTAGGTTTTTGCATATTTTTCATCATTTCAGTCAATTCTATCACTTGTGTGGTCAGTGTGTTCAGAGCATCGTTGTCTATTGTCAAGCAACGAGTCTTTCTGATATTATCCTTGTGTTAGGATATTAGTGGTCATTGTTGGAGATCCTCTTAAGTATGTCGTAGGCTTCATTATATGACTTCTCTAGTAATGCTCCATTAGCAGATGTGTATACAACCATCATTGTTTGCATGTTCAACCCATTATATAATACCCCCATTTGCATCTAATGTTGGAAACCATGAATCGAGAATTTTCACAGTAAATCTTTGAACCTCTTCCATGCTTCTTACAAGTTTTCATCATCCAATTACTTGAAAAGATGCAATGTCATTCCTTAATCTAGTATTCAATTTGGGAGGGTTAAATCGAAGAAAGAAATTTTGTGCAAGTTCGTTCTATAATGTTATAGCTCTTAGTGGCAATGAGTTAAACCATGCCTTGGTTTTGCCGCGAAGTGAGTATGCAAAGAGTTTTAACTTCAAAGATTCTTTGGGAACTCCTTGTTATATGAATGAATCACAAATTTCTATAAATACTCTCATCTGTGCTCGACGTTACTCAATGTGTATCCCACTATATTTCCCCATTCATCGCAACATTTGGAACATTGCCAGCTTTAATTTGAAATGGGAAGCATGGATGACATGACGAACAATCCTAGGGTTTAAATTATCCAGTATGGGTATAATATGTTCTTGGATTGGCCTATTTCTTTCATCAGTTTTATGGTAAGCTTGTAGCATCGAAATATTTTGCAAAGGAGGAATCAATCCAACATTATGTCCTAATTTCTCCTATTGATGTTAATCTCCCTTCATTAGTTATTGCTTTGAGTTATGCTTCAAAATAACATGTTAAAATCTACCTACAAAAGAAATATTAAAACTTGATGCTTTGAATAATGTAATAATAGCATTCAATGCAAGCATACACTATCGTATCTAGTAATAAAGTGGATACAAATTAATGCATCGAGTATCATATCCATATAAACTAGTATTACTTAAAGAATTTTCAAATCATTAAAATTATTTAGCTGATTTTGCGAACAAAACAATAAAAATATAAAAGTAAAATAAATATGAGAATAAAATATGAAGGGGTGAAGGGAATTGTAGTAGTGACAATGAAAGCAGTTGGTCAACTCAAGCAAAAGATTATGGGAAAGTTAAACTCATTCATGCAATTAACGATGTCACAAAAATAAGATTGATGTATCCAAACATTAACTAAGTAGGTTTTCCTCTCTCGATGGCTCCATCCAGGAACTCACAACAGTGTTATATCTCAATACCCACTTATGCAAATTTACTAAGTATGTTACGATAATAAGTCAACTAGATCTCTCTACACTGAAACATTACTATCACAATCACTGTTGCCTCAACAATGAGACTCACCACTTGATCCAGTACTCACACAATGCCACTCACCTCTCAATACAATGGATTGGGCAAATCATATATCTCTATACTAAAAGCCTTAATAAAACTGGGAAAACACCAATCGAATTAAGGGACAAAATTAATAAACATGAAATTCATAAAATACATAAAATACATTTAAAAATATAAGAATTTCAACTAAACAAATTAAAGAGTATTTCAACTAAACAAAAATAAATCCCCCTCTTAGATTCGTTTCATAATTTTCCTCGCCAATCATTAGCCATCATCCTCTCAGTGTAGTGACTTTTACTTCACGTTCAACTATTGCTCTTCCCTAAAGTTGTATAAGCAACCATGGTTGACGGTGGAGAAAAGAAAAAAATAAGATAAAACCCTAGAAAGCTCTTATTTCTTAGTTGCTACCACCTTCTTCATATAATAATTAAAATTCCTAAAAATTAGAGTTTAGGCCCACATTAAATTGAGACCCCTTCTTCATTAATACTCCTTTCTACTTTTTAATTCTTTCCATAACAAGGTTCTTTATATTTTTTCGGTCTAAAGATTTCTATGAGTGCATCAATTGCTACAAAAATTTCCCAGTATTCATACATCATATCATCGCACAACAACTGTAGTATCAGATAACGTCATAGTATCAGGGTAACAATATCATATCAAAATATCATAATTATTCCAATAATTACAAATTACTTCCAGTAATGCATGTAATGCAAAATTAACTATAAACTTTCTAAATATGATCCTAAAATGTTGAAGTACAGAAAGAAACCTAAGTAAAAAGGCCTTAAATAATAACTCTTTTGGAGAGTTATCATGTCACCTCTAACTTGTCCCAAATCTCCTTAGCATTAAAGCATGAAGATACTCTACTATATTTGTCCAAGACAATAGCATAAAAGAGGATGTGCGTGGTTTTAGGATTGAGTTAGGCTAGATTGATGTCTTCACTTGTCCACTTTGATTGATTCCTAAGAGTGTTGGGAGAGCCATCAGTGATGACATCCCAAGCCGAAAGATCAGTGGCTTGAATGAACAACTTCATCCTAATCTTCCAATAAGAATAGTTGGAACTGTTGAAGTATGGAGGCCTCATGATGGAGTGAGAATCCTCGAGGAAGTAAGAGTTGGATGTCAAAGTCATCTTCTTGGTTGAATGAAAATGGGTTGAGATTTGTTAACTCCAATTACTAGAAACCATTACAACCAACATCGACCACAGTTGAACCTAAGTAACCTATATCAGCCCTCTGCAAATAACGTGTGAAACACAGTGCAACAAAGACACCACCACCACCAAAGTAGGATCTTAGTGAGGTACCTCCATTTGCATTTTATGTAGTTTAGTTTAGTTTAGTTTTTATGCATTAAGGACAATGCATCTTTCAAGTTTAGAGGAGGTAGTGTTTATAGTTTAGCATTTACATTTCTAATTATCTACATATTTTTGCTATAGCATTTGTTTGTCTTAAAGATAATTTTTCGGAATAAATTGATGATGCCCAATGATGATGAATTTTTTTATGGTTATGATTGATTGAATGTATATGACTATTGACATTGATATAACTAAATTTGCGCGTAATTTGATACATGATTGTATGATCTCTATGCTTAAGAGTGTTAGTGTTAGAAATTTTTATGAAATAACTCTTGCATATCTTAATATGAATGAACTTAATGATTTTAAATGATATATGAAAGAATAAAAGGATTAATTTAAACTCCCTTGTGTTTACTGGATATTTTGAATTGTGAATAAATGCTACGACATAAACTGTAGAGGGACACTCCTCTTTGTATTTTAGTGCCTGTTAAACCCCTTGAATAAATGACAACATAGCATATGAATGAATTAAATTAGTCACAGTATGACACTTCTCAATAGGCTAGGAGATAGGGTGTTTGCTCCACTTTATTTTTAAGTATAAGAAAGTACGTGTGATAGGTTGACTCCCCTCGTAGTATTGGATTTTTTAAGGAAATTGGAGTAAACTCGTGCTTAAGGGTTGAACAAATATTAAGGTATGATAGAAAACTTTCTTTTTATAGCTTTGTTAAATATATATTAGATACAATAACATAGATTAGATACAATTATACAGACACGCATGTAAAGGACCTTGTCTTAGGGAAAATTTCTTGAATTCACAACTCGTCTAGCACATTGAAGCCTATTTTTATGAGGTCTAAATTTTATGACATATCATTGTCTTGTACTGAATTTTTCTATAACAATTCCTTTGTTGATTACTCTTCATTGCTTGAGGACAAGCAATAGCACAAGTTTGGGGCTATGTTAACCCCGTAAAAAGGGTATATTTCATGCCTTTTTACTTGGGTTGTTGTTTGTTTTAAAGCCCATTTAGTTTAATATAGTTGCATGTAGCTCATTTATATGCATATGGTGGTGTTTTGTTAATTTATTTTATTTATTTATGACATTGGTGCTACTTTGAAGTAAAGGGTTTGTTTTAGTGTGTTGATGTGCAAGTAATTTAATGAGAACTGCTATAGGATAAAATTATGCCGCTGTATTTTGGACGACATTTCTGGGTGCATTAGAAGACAAAAGCTAATGATATTTTATAATCCACTCGTGACACCTCTTTCAGTTGTACCCCCCACATGAAGGGAATAGTTTACCTAGGGAAAAAAGACTAGGAGCCCTCTATATAAAGCTAAGAACACCATATTTAACCTAGAGGATAAAAAGGATAAAATGTGTGAGATAAGATAGAGAAAAGTGAGAGGCGACTGCTCTTCTTTCTTTCTTTCTTTCTTTTTTCATCTTGATGGCCTCCATTATTATATCTTCAAAGGGGATAACCTTGCTGGCTTATGAGAGAATTATCAGTGCTTGGGTTAGTTCACGGCAGTCCATGAAACCTCTCGACTTTGGAGTTTTCTTCCTCCTTTAGTTTCTTTTTATTTCTTTTTATTTTCTGCCATATGTTATCTTAAACGAATGATTATGGATTCTATTTACCTAGCCATGAACTAACCTTGCTTGACTTGGGTTTATTTTAGATGATGATACTTTTTTTTAAAAAAAATGTTGAAGCATTTCCAATTTATACACATGTTTTATTCACTGTTTTATAGATTAGATTCGTAAGAGCTTTTGAGAGATAGTCTTTATCTATGTTTGATACTTAATATCAAGAGAGTTCATATTAGATCTATATGGAAAATGGAGTTAAGCTCGGAAGAAAAACCCTCACTCACCTTAGAGATAATGATAGGGTTTCATTGACTAAAAAGAGTAGGGTTTCATTGATAGTATCATGCTATGGTTCACATTGAGAGGTATTGCTTTAGCATTTTCACTGTCAGGTTTCTTGCTAGAGATATCCTAGAAATGACTTAGAAAACTCTGTCGAGCATTATATTAATTGTAAAAATTTAAAAATTCATTAAGGACAAGACATGGGATTCCAATATAGACCCAGCCTTTTATCTTTCTTGAAAGTTTCACACTTGTTAGGTCGTGTCGTTGTCTTAACTTATGCATCTATTTCTCAACACAAAGTTTTCTACAACATTTCTTTACTTACCTTTTTGATATAGCATTTCACGCACGTCAATATTTTGTCAAAGCATTCATACACCTTGTTCATACCATTATATACATTATTTGTTTATGATTCGAGTGCATATTCTTTTCTTAAATTCCCTCAATACCTATGGAGATGATACTCACTCATTACTTTATTGCTTGTTTGACGTGTATGCCGCCACAACTTGTGTATCATAATATAGTACACTCACACACACAACACGTTTTTGGCATCATTACTAGTGATTGACAATTGGTGATTTTAAGTTTAGTTTTTGCACTGTTTTATTTCTTCTTCTTTTTTAACATATTTACTTGTTATTTTTATTTTCCTTTTTCAGGTTTTGTTATATTCCATAACCCATAGATGATA